CAAAAAGAATAAAACAACCTCCAAGTATTAAACATTTCTAAATTATTGTGTATCAAAACGAATTCTGAATCTTCTGATCTGATCATCAAACCAATATCTTTTTTCTCTTCTCATTATGCCAAATATTTTGATTATGAATTGCAACCAAAATAAAAACTACAACTACATTGTAGTAAATACTGTACATCCTTAGTTCAAAAGAATACTATTTCTTGTCAAATTGATAATCATATCATCTACTTTGAATGATTACATTGGCATATAAAGACTCCGCCACCTTTTAAAAACTGTTTCTAGTCTATTTCATTTTAAATACCATCCAATATCCTTTAATAATATTAATACATCACCAAATTACTTTCTTTGTAGAACAAAGACAAGCACTTTAAAGCTTGCAAAGTGACTAATTCTTAATGTTGTCAAATTAAGTTAAGCAATTTAAGGCAATTACTAAATGTACCGACTTCTTTAAAAATTGTAGCAATTAGAGAAACTGTTTCACTGTCTTTTATAATGTACATAAATAACTTGGCTTAAGCAAAGTTGTTTGGGTAGGCTGGCTTTTTTTGGGGAAGGGGGCTGCTGAATTCTGGTAGCCATTCTTGAGCTCATAGCCAAATCCAAGTTGTTGGTCATAGCTTGCATTCATCCAAATTGAACAAGAGCATTTGCTATTATAAAATCAGATCTCTTCCTATCTCTGGTTTTGAGTTCACATTGTTAAAGAAGTGCACATTCTTATTTTGCTGTATAGCCACAACTGTCACAGACCAAACAACTCTGATCTGAGTGTTGGATAACCTTTAGAATTGCCCATTGCCTAGACAGGCCCTATACCACACTTGCTAATGAAAGTCCAACTATAAGCCTCCTGAACTTGTTAGGAGTTGGGAGGGTTAGATGACGAAACCCTTGGACAACTAGGCCTTGGACAATTACTTTCTCTCAAGGGAATAAGAAGATTGAAGTAGATGATACTGGTTCCTTCCGGCCTTAAAATGAGCAAACGGGTGATGAAAACAAAAACATCTACGTTATGAGACTTACTTATATACTGTGATTAATCATTTCAACTCTGTAACTAGTTTTTCCACCAATAAATTGAGGTTATTAATTCATCCTTTTGCCTTAATGTATTTTCATTTGCTTTCTCCTTGTTTTCTCAACACCAAAGTCTATGGTTGTCTTTTAAGGATATATTCAAACTTCATCTCCTCCTTCCCTCATTCCCTCATTCATTCAATTACTATTCTATTATACCAGGTACAAGGTTGAACTAGTATACCAGGCACTAGGGATTTAAGGGTAAACAAAACAGACATAGTCCTTACTTTCTTGAAATCTACAGTCCAATAGAGATGGCCAATATTACAAACACATATAAAATTTCAATAATTATTTCAACAATGCTAAGTACTAAGATGCTATAAGAGCCTATAAATAGGAGGATCTGATCAACTCAGGGAGATCAAAGAGAGTGCCCCTGAGAAAGGGACCCTCCATCTAAACTCTCTATTTATAAGATAAGCGGGCCTTAACCAAAGAAAGGAGGGAGCAAAATAATCTATGCAAGAGAACAACAAAAAGGCCCTACAATGGAAGCAAATACGTTGAACACGAAGAATTGAAAGAAACCTCAATATGATTGAAATGAAGGGGGCTGCATAAGGTACAATGGAACTGGAGAGGAAGACAGACTCCATAGTCATGAAAGGGTTAGAAGCAGGGGACTGATATGACTGGACTTGTGTTTTATAAAGATGACTCTGACTGCAATGTGGAGATAAATTTGAAAGGGGGTCAATGTGGGGTATGAATTAGGAGGCTATTATAGTAGTTCAGGGAAGAGAAGATCATAGGTAAATCAGAGTATAGGCTACAGTGGAGGGAAAGTAGATAGAGTCTAGAAGTATTTAGATAAAATGAACAGGTTTGGGTGATGGATTGGGTACAGGATGTGTATTAATTATCTATTGCTGTTTTAAAAAATTACCCTAAAACTCAGTAGTTTACAACAAATATCTCATAATTTCTGTGGGTCAGGAATCACGGTACAACTTAGCTGGGTGCCTCTGACCCAGGCTCAGTCGTAAGGCTGCAATCAAGGTCTTGACCAAGGATACAGTCACCTCAAGTCTTGACCAGGGATGGATTCACTTCCAAGCCCACTCATGCAGCTGTTGACAGGCCTCCAGTCCTATTCGCCTGTTGGCCAGAGACATGAGTTCCTTGCCACGTGGACCTCTCCAGGAGGCTACTCACAACATAGCAACTTGCTTTCTTCAGAGTGAGGACAGAGTAGGGGAGGGGAATCAGAGCAAGGGAGTGAAAGAAGGCAAGCAAGAAGGCAATCAAGTCTTTTTGTAACCTAATCTTGGAAATGACCTCTCAGCACTTTTGACATATTGTATTCATTAGAAGTGAGTCACTAGGTCAGTCCACACACAAGCAGAGAAGATTACTGAACAGGCACGCATACCAGAAGGTGGAGATCATTGGAGGCCACTTTAGAGGCTGCCCACCCTGAGGGAGTGAGGAAGCAGGAGGCATTGTGGTATTAGTGAGATTGGAAAGGATGGAAAAGGCCCAGGTGTGGAGAAGTTTTGTTTTGGACATGGTGAGTTTGAAAGGACAAGGTGCCTTTAATTCAATCAACAAATATGTGTTTATAAAATACCTACTACATGCCAGGCACTACTCTATGAGATGGGATATAATGATGAACACAGAAAAAGTCCTTGCCCTCATGGAACTTACCGTCTAATAGCTGAAGATAGATGATAAACATTTAAACAAATAAATTCAGATAATGATAAGGGGTAGAAAGAAAACATAGCACAAAGTTGTGGGTTTCTCTTCAACTATGGTGTCAAAATATACTTTTCAGATATCGAAGTAGATTGTTAAAAGCCTTAAGATGTTCCCCTAGATCCCTCCTGTACTCTCATTGTACTTTTTGCCTCTCTCATAGCATTTATCAAAAACTGCTTTGTATTACAGTGCAAGTTACCCTTTGTGTTAGGTGAAAAAATTCCACCATCCTCACCACTCCCAAGATATCTACATCTACTTCCTGGCATGTGTGAGTGTTTTCTTACTTGGAAAAAGGGTCTTGCAATAAGTAGAATACCCTGAACTAGTCAAGTGGGCCCTAAATGCCATCACAATTGTCCTTATAAGAGACACACACGGAAGAGGAAGAGGAAGTGTGACCATGCAGGCAGAGATTGGAGAGGCGCAGCCACAAGTCAAGGAATGCCAACAGCCACCAGAAGCCACAAGCGGGAAAGAGCAGATTCTTCTCTAAAGCCTCCAAAAGGAGCGCTGCTGACACCCTGATTATGGACTTCTGGCCTCCAGAACTGTGACAGAATAAATTTCTGTTGTTTTAAGCCACCCAGTTTGTGGTCATTTGTTACAACAGACACAGGAAACTAACACACCCTTTCAATGCTATTACCTATCACTGGATTCATGGCATTTATCACAAGCTGTATTTATTTGTTTGTTCACTTATTTATTGTGTCTCATCCCATTAATATTCAAGCTCCAGGAAGATGGGGACTTCCCTGTACACCTAGCTCTTGGCATAGTGTCTAAAAAATATTGCATTTCTAGGAATTCTGTTAAATGAATGGATAAATGTCCCCCATGAGATAACAAGTCTTGTAAGTGAGAAAGCATGTCTATAAACCAGGATTCCCAAGCCCCCAGCACAGAGCCTTGCCAAAAACTGTTGTTGAACTTGGTTTGAGCTGCAGGAATCAGGAAGTCTGGATTCTAGAGATTGTACTACAATTTACAGCTGTGTGATAGCCCCACCTCTACCTTGTACACATCTAGTATTAGATTTAATGTATTCAGTTAAGTTTGTTCCTTATCTGCTCTTCTTAGCCCTTACAAGGAGCACGCCCAGATTGCATTCATTTTCTCATTCTGTACATGATCCAAGGTGCTCGGCATATTGTAGGGACAAGAAATATTTCAGACTTTTGGGTGAATTAAAATAACATCAGGCTCAGCCATAACCAAAAGTCAACACCTCATCCTTGAGTAAATTCCTAATCAACTCGGAACCTCAATGTTCTCAACTGAAAGAAGACTAACCCTTACATCACAAAGGTATGAACCTGTGAACCTCTTGGCCAATGGTAGGGGCTCCATTAGCGATACCTAATCATTAATAACCCTATTCCACTGACCTAACCCAACCTTGAGTACAGCATCAGACAAGAGCTCCAAACCAGCACCATCACTTCTTGGCCATGTGATCCTTGGCAAGCTATTTCACTTCTCCAAGCCACAGTTCCTTGGCCCAAAGTTGACAATAATACCTACCTTGTAAGAGTGGTTCTGACAAAGAAACTAAATGAAGTAATCGAATAGTTCAACTTAGAGTGCTTGGCTCAATCACATATGTAGTTATTTGAGCAAAAATCCTTGGCATTTTAACGTGTGCAGTGATCTTGAGTAAATAATCCTACTTCCTTGGGCCTTCTGAAATAACGAAAGGGCTAGAAGACCCTATTACTGCCTCGACGAACCCAAGTTTGGAAACCTTCGAACTAAAGGCCACGTGAGGGTTCCATGATTCTATGACTCTTTCTTCAGCAACCTACCCGTTATCAGTGTTTACAACGAACAGAGACCAAGCCAACGTGACAGGTTTTCTAGAAGAGTGCAGCACCTCTGGCAGCTCTTAACCCAGCCTAAATTTAGGCATTTTCACAGATACAGGTCACGACCTAAGGAAAGTCCTGGCCCCTGCTTGGGCGGTTCACCACCTCCCGGAGCGTCCCCTGGTTGCCTGGGCAACGCTGACGTCACCGCGTAGCCTCACGTGTTCGTCGGCAAAAAGCCCACACAACGCAACGCGCAGGCGCCTCGTGGGAGCCAATGGGCGCCGCCGGAACATCGGCGCCGCTCGGCCCCGCCCTTGTCCGATCGGATTCGAGGGCGGGGCGGGGCAGCAGCGGGAGCGCGCCCGCCTTCCCGGGCGAGCGGGCGGTTGTTGGTGGCTCCGTGGCAGGGCGCCCCGTTACGTAGGTTACGCGCACAATCACTGCCCCGGGGCCGCCCGGAGCCCGCCAAGGCAGCTGCGCCCTCCCAGACCCGGGCACCCCGGAGGCGGGGGCCGCGATGGTGCGGGTCGGGGGCCCGAGGTGGAGCTGACCAGGCGCTGAGAAGAGCCTGGCCGAGTCCGGGCCAAGCACGAAGCCCTTCCCCGCCCATCGGGCTCTGGGGTTCCCGCCTGCCGATTTCCAGTCGTCAGGCTCACGCTTCTCGCTGGAAGCCCTGAACTCCCGGGCCCCCTGCGGGAATGTTCAAAAATGAGTACCAGGTAACCCGAAACGGCTCTCCAACCTGTGTGTAGCATTCTCCTCTTGGGTGAGGTAGGGTGTGTTAAGGGTGAAGACAAAGCTCCTTCCTCCCCACCCCCCAATAATACGGTCTTTTTCGAGGAGAAAAGGAATTAATGAATGAGTGGTCTTGACCCAAAAAGAAAAAAAAGAAAGCAACGAAAGTCTGGGCGCATGATTTGGCTTTTGTTCTGTCTCCAGCTCAGTGCTTCTCAAAGCGTATGGATTGCCTGTGATTCTGATTAAAATGCGGATCTCAAACCCCAACCAGACCTTCTGAATCAGAATCTTGCAGGCAGGGCCCATAAATCTTCAGTTTTAACTAGCGCCTTGGGTACTCACTATCGATGCTCACTGGTATGTCAGAAGCTGTTTAGAAGAGTGAATGAGTGAATGCATGAATGGGTTAAACCAAGAAAGAAAACAAGCGTTTTGGCTGTGCTATTTTCTTTTGCCCCAAAACTGGGGGTCAGTGACTCTCAAACGCTGGGGTGCATTAGGATCACTTGGGGTACTTCTAAAAATGCAGATTTCTGACCCTCACCCCAGATCTAGTGAATCAGAATCTGTAGATGGGGCTAGTTAATTTACCTTTGTTACGACTTCCACCAGCTGATTCTGATGTAGATGGTCCGAAGATCACACTGGGGAAACTGCTTCTGGATCTTCTGCAGTCATCTTGAGTATCCTACATTGTCTACAATGTGTGACCTGCTTTCCTGACCTCACTGGGCATCTCCCTTCCTGCTGTTCCTTGGCCCTAACCTCTATCTGAGGTTACATTCTCTATTTACAATCTATTACCATCCTAGTCCTGCTATTATGATGAACAGTTTCATCCCTGTGCTGGAATAGTCCTCCACTGGTCACCTCTTTGTTGCTTCTACCTTTTCACCAATGCTACGTGCCTTCTAAGTGTCCTTGGAGTATTCTGCAGTTCTCTTTCTTCTATTCCATTTGATATCATTAAATGTGTTAGAACAATTTTAGAGAGTTTGTCTCACTTAATATAGATAAAATATATTGTTATAAAAAGCCTATGCCCACTGTGGGAAATGTGGAAAGCAAGAGAAAGCAGAAAGAAATGGGGTGGGGTGGGGGTGGGATTCTATCTCATCAGGTATAAGGATTTTTCCCTTAAAAAGAAAAGGCTGCCACAAATTAAAATTTGTAGTGATAGATGACCTGACCCTGGAAGCTATAGTAATTCTATCCCACACACAGTTTGCACATAATACTGCCTAACGAAGACGAAATTAAATGTCTTAATGGAAAGTGATTATGTGTTAAATATCAGAAGCAAAGGTATCTTTACATTATTGAGAAAAATTAAAAGCTGGAAGTTCTTTACAAACATCAGATGGGTTTGCTCACGTGCTGCTTATAATTCAAACAGGCCATAAAAGAAAACCATATTTAGTCTTCATTTCAGATTCTCAATTTCTTGCAATAAACACTTTCTCAGAGATAATCATCTTGTTTAATTCTTCTCTTTTATGATTAAAGCTTTTGGATATTCAGTAATGTGTTTAGTATTTTTACATAAGCATGTTCCTCCATGTTCTTCTCAGGTTGATAGCAGGGAACACGTAGCATGTCTATAGAAATGATTCTCTTTTTTCTTGTACAGATTTTATAGATCTCCAAATTAATTTGTATTAAATATATAAAAAGATCTTATAGGAATGCTCAAAATAAGAACCACTCTCCCCCCCATTCCCTCTCAACCTTTTTTATTGACCTTTTATTAAACTGTTCAATTTGCCTCTTTTTTGAATAATCATTGCTGGCACGATTGAGCCCTTGTCATGTGCGGGTTTTGTGCTTGATGATTTATGTTTCCTATCCTACATAATCCAGCACCCCATTTTACAGATGGAGAATCAAGATGTTAAATAACTCTCAAAGTCAGATAGTTAATAAATGTCAAAGCTGGTATTGGAGCTCAAGTCAATATGATTAGAAAGCTCATAGCCAGAGATAATTATCAGAATTTATTAGCCTGGCTCAAAAGTTTAGTTTAAATCCTTTGGTGAAGGGGGAATAGAATGTTTTATAAGCGTGTTCTATACATGTCAAGTAAATGAACTCCACATTGAGAGATTGTAAGGTTTGTGTGGCACAATTTATTTAATATTTATCATGCTTTAAAAAAAGTCCTTAAACCATTAATCCAAGGTGACCCAAATCAGAACAGTTGTGGCTTAGATACAACCAAGGTATAAAGTAGGAGTAATAACAGGGATAATGTTTCCTCCCAGATCTACTTAACTGACAGGTGCCTGGAACAGTGGTTATAGACTATGTGGTGGATAGTATTTCCTCCTTAGCATTGTCTTTCATTTTAATTTAAATATTTCGTTTTTGTTTTCTAGGGAGGTGCATTTGTTGAAATCTTCAGTGCCCAGGGAAAAAATCCTGGAGCAAAATGGAAGATCCTTGGCAGTCCATCTGTGATTTGGAAAGTAAGTATTAGAAATTAGAGCCACCTAAATCCTGGATAGAAATGAGAAGGAAGGTTACAACAAAAAGGGCTTGATAAGATTTCAGCATTGCTTTTCCTGTTCATTCACTCCAAAACCCTTTCCTGACATTGTTGGCTGCAGCCCCCTACAGTCCTCAGTCCTTTAAGACTTTGGCACACCGCTCATAACACGTCTCTGTGTGCCAAGTCCTGCTGTTGTTTTAGGGGACTTCAGCATCTGTAAGGAAAATCTCTCCAAACGCTGGGCTTGTCAGTTTCTTGATTTCTTCATCTCCGGTGACCTCTTCCATTCCACTTCAGCACCCTGTCCCACTGTCACACCCTGTACCTTAGCACCACAAACTGCAGGGCCTCTGAAATTAGTAATTGAGATGTTGAGGCATCCCTTTCTGACCTCAGTCTTCGATTCCTAAGGCTGCTTGCCTAGTTACTCCCATTATATTTGTTCTTCAACCTAATTGAGACCCTCAGGCTGTTGACCATTCTCCTGTCGCCTTTGTTTAGTTTTATGATTTATTTATTTTCTCTGTCGTCATGTCCTTTTCTCTCCAGCCCAGAGTCCACAGTCCATAATTCCAGTCACTTGCCAGTCAAGACCTTGAATGCCCTTCTTGTCCTTTCGTTATGCCCACCTGGCAGACGCCACCCCTTTCTGAATCTCCGGTTATCTGTGTTTTCTCTGCCTGCACCTGGGCTTCTCAGTACCTTTGGAGGAAATATCCACAGCTCTAAGATTGATGATACTATAAATTCAACCTGAACAGCCCAGGAAATTCTCCTCTTATGTTCTCTTAGTCTCTAAAATGATTATTTCTCCATTATCTACCAACTCCCTACCCCCACACCCAGGACAGGCCCCCCTCACTCACTCGCCAGAAGACCTCATGCCCCATTTCACAGGGAAATCCAATTTGGTCAGGTAGAAACTACCTCAGCTTGCTGCCACCAGATCTAAAAACCTGTATCCATTCCTATCGTTTTCTGTTTCTCTTCTTCTCTCATATATAATCAAGAGAAAAATGCCTTTCTAGGGACCTTGTTCTATGGATAACTTTTTAAAGCTACTAGTAATTGAGTGCTTACTGTTTGCCAAGCACAGCATTTTAGCACATTACATATGTTACGTAGTCTAGACAATAGCCTTTTGAGATAGGTAACTTTGTGCCCTTTTTACAGACAATAAAACTGAGGCATGGAGAGGATAAGTGACTTGCTCAAAATCATATAGCTCTTACTATGAATGAGAGATAAATGGTGCTGTGAGAGTATATAGCAGGGAGGTTAGGAAAGGCTTCTCCAAGGAAATGACATTTGATCTCTAAGAGCTAACTAGGCACCAGGTGGGGTACATGTAGAGAAGAGTGTTTCAGACAAAGGGAAAAGCATGTACAAAGTTCTTGTGTCCTGAGACAGCTTAGAATTTTTAAGAAACTGCAAGATGGCTACTAAGGCTAGGATGCAGAGAGAAGAGAGAATGCAAGGTAGGAAATGAGGTTTGAAAAACTGGGCAGGGACCACACTACACAGGTTTATGGACCATGTTGAAGATTCTAGGAAGCTATTGAAAGGTTTTAAGTATATGCCCAACTTGTGTGTAGATGGAATAAATAATACACTTGGTGTATATATGTTCATTTCAAATACATAAGAGATGCTATTGTGATGGATATAATGCAAACTTATTTAAATGTTACTTAATTCTTAGCAGCCATTACTTATAATATGTTTCTTAATATATACAAAAAGGAAGAGGGGGAGGATCTGTAAAATATTTTAATGTGAAGAAGCCCTCTTTATACTCAAAGATTGGGAATTTGCTCCAAGATAAAAAAATAACAGTTTACATTACCACTTTGACTCATAGAAATCAGACCCTCATGTATAAGATGTTTTTCGTTTCCAGGTTTATTTTGTTTTGTTTTCTGTTTCTCCTACCTTAGTTCTTTAGGTCACCTTAATTGTAACACTTTAATTCATACTGATTTTAAGTAAATGATATATAGAACTTCAGGTTCCAGCACTAGTAAAATAAGACCATGATTAATTCTGTAGGAACCATGGCCTGAAATCAAGGAACTTCCAGACTGGGTACAATATAGGTTAGATGGTGTATTGTTCTGTACCAGGGAGTGATGTTCGGCCTGTGCTGTTAGACAGAAATCCCTAGATTAAAGGAGAGGAAGGGTAACTAAACTCTGGAAACTCTAAATTAGTAACTTGGGAATCCCTGAAGTTGGAGAACTTCTTTTATTTGGAGGAAAAGTGTCTTGATATAATAAGAGGATTCGCCCAGTGGCTTAGTGTGGCTTCTGTGTTCCGGTTCCCAGTGAGTCTCAGGGTAAGAGTATCATTGAGGCCTGAGCCTACTTTTAAGTCATTTGAATCTGGGACTTGTTTCCTGTGGGTTTGCAGCTCCAGTTTTATAACAGAAGCCGAATAAAATATGCTTCAGTTACTACCGTTTTTATTTTTATTCCATAGGAGTTTGACAAAGAAGTTAAAAGTTTTGTGTTTGTCCTGGAAGGCAGCAGCCAAACAAACAAAATTCAGTTACCAAAGGAGAGTAAGCAGATCCGTAAGTAAGATTTTTAATATTGAAGCTTAAGGTTTGATACTTCAAGTTATGCCTTTGTCTCATAAACAGACGTGTTAGTTTGACTTTTACTCGCATCTGTTGACATAAAGTGACATGATTTTTTTTAATATAGAAAGTGACTTTATGCCAGGCTTTTAAAAATATATTCTGCTTCATTGTTTATTAGAAATCGACTAGTATTTTTAAGAAGATTTGGAAGATTATTTAATAGCCATTAATTATAACAGTAATGGTATTTATTGAACACTTACTGTGTGCTGATGACTTTCTAAGCATTTCACATTTATTATCTCTCTTATTCCTCACAATAGCTCTTTTACAGATGAACACACTGAGGTTGATTCCATCAAGAAATCAGGTAGTTAAGGCTTAGCTTTGAAATAAACTCGAGAGTTCCTAAATAATAGGAAATTAATTTGTGAGAAAAAAATTTATGTAAAATACTATATAAGGCATTATTTAGTGACTATCAACTTATATACCTTTAGACATATTAATATCTAATAAGTATAGACATCAGTGTGTGATTTAACAAAAGCATAGAGTAGATTTCCGTTCTTATTTACTTTGGAAATTAGGATCAGCATTGTAAAGCAGAAGAAACCCTGAGAGATCACCTAAAGTTTTGAACAGAAGCCCAGTTATTGGCAGAAGGGGGTTAAAATTCAAGGCTCTGGGCCGGCCCCATGGCTTGGCGGTTAAGTGCGTGCATCCCGCTACTGGCGGCCCGGGATCCGCACCGCTTCTCCAGCCATGCTGAGGCCGTGTCCCACATACAGCAACTAGAAGGATGTGCAGCTGTGACATACAACTATCTACTGGGGCTTTGGGGAAAAAAAGGAGGCGGACTGGCAATAGATGTTAGCTCAGAGCTGGTCTTCCTCAGCAAAAAGAGGAGGATTAGCAGGGATGTTAGCTCAGGGCTGATCTTCCTCACAAAAAAAAAAAAAAAAAAATTCAAGGCTTTGCCACAAATTAGGCCTTGCTTAAACTGATATGATTTAAGAAATAGAATTTATCAAAATGGTTAATCAGATTTTCATCAGCTTCGTCCTATTTTTTACCTATAGACTTCAGATGATTTAGCAAATATAAGTAGCCAGTTATATTTGACATTCATCATTTGCTTATTCCTTCCTTTATTCATTAAGAACATTTATTGAATACCTACTGTATACCAGGTACTGTGAAAAGACCTGTTCTTGGTGTCTGATTTTCTCTTTTTCATTTAATTTTCTAAACTTTCTTAGGCTCTGTGCTTTATTCAAGCTACTGTGTGCATATTTTAGATTTCTAAGTAAACCAAGCCATAGAAATTATAGATGGAAGACGATTTATTTTAAAGTCATTTGCTAGTGTTTCTTTCTAAATAAAATAAGAAACAGAACCTCAAAGAGAAGGGATAATCATTGTTAGAAGAATTTTTATTAATTTACCACCATTTTAAAATCATGATTTCTTCATAGTTTCTGTTTGTTTGCTTTTTTAATAGCAGAGGGTTTTTTTTCATTTCCACATAAATTTATACTTATAAATGAGGTGAACCAACATGAGCCAGGGAAACATGTCTGAAACTGTAGGTTATTCTTCTTACAAGAGACGTGGTCCATCTTTTTTAAGGATGTTGACTTTGTGCGATAGATTACACTTGATTTGCAGGAACATGATTTTGTTCTAAAACAGTGTTCTTTTGTTTTTTTCTTTTTCTTGGCCTGTTCTTCCATGTAATGCCCTCAGCATCTATGCACGTGACCTCCTTATTGACAAAATCAAATCACTTCTGATAACCTTTCTCAGTTGGCTCTGAGAAAGATTTCTCTTCTGCCAAAGGCTCAGTGATTAAAGACAAGCTCCTCTTTCCTACTTTTATCTAAGATCCTTTTTAGAAATAAAAAAAAATTAATGTGTTATAATTGCTTTTTAAATGGAAATATGATAGTTTTAATTGGAAGAAACAGTAGAATCTTTTAATGTATTTCTTGTACAATGCCCTGTGATTAAAAATTAACCTGGCTTTTCTGTAGCAAGTGCAGCATCATAACAAATGAAACAGCTTTTGTAGTCTGCCCTATACTAATGCCTTTAAGATTAATTATTTGTAATTTTTGATAACAGAACTTGGTAGTTATTTTTACTTGTATAAAATGACCTTCTGTGTGAAGTTCTTATGGTTAAATTTAAATTAAATGGAATGCCTTGAAGAGAGAATTGGCTTTCAATTAACATTTGTAAATTTATTTCAATTATTATTATGTATTCCTATTTTAAGAGTAAACATCCACTTTATTTATGCAAACTTAACATTAGGTATCCCATATGTGTTTCTTACTATACTAGGTCTTATGAAGGAAGTTTAATAATGAAATTAAGTATGTTTAACTTTTCATTTTAAATAGTAATTTTTATGAATTATATTTGAGCATCTCTAAATATGTCCAAGTTTTTTTTTACTCAGCATCTTATTGAATAAAGGAAAGTATGGTATTGATTATCAGGTTGTACACTTCTCAAGGGCAGGAATCGTGCATCGTCTACTTTGTACCTTGACTTAGTGTATCATCTATAGTTGGTGTTTAGTAAGTTTGTTAAATTTGCCATATTAAGAAACTATAAGAGTTTGTGTTGTAATTTCTAATTGTAACCAGCTGACGTTGATAATAAGACTTGAGTAAATCATTAGCCAGCTAAATAAATTAATCCATGCTACTCTTCACACTGGAACATGTTATGTAGAGTTGCCCATATGAGAAGCAGCTCTGTTGCACGTAAACATCTATCATTTGGATGGTCTGCCCCAGGACTTTCTGTTTGAGACTCATGTTAAAACCATTGTTTTCTCTGCCTGTGGCATCTGAATCCAATGGTGTGTCTCTTGGGATCAGCATCCCTTAAGCCTGTGTTAATCTGAGTTTCAGCTGCTCTGGAGGATGAGGTCATCTTTATAAGGCTCACCCCAGGCATCCCCATTGCCCCCACTTTGGTATTCTTTTTAAAATAAATTTCATTATGACTTCCTCTGTTTAAAACCCTTCAATGGCTTTGACCTCACCACTCTACTGATAGTGCTCTTGTCAAGGTCACTAGTGATCTCTGTATTTCTGAATTCAACGGCCAGTTCTCAGCCCTCTTCTCACGTAACGTATCAGCAACATTTGACAAAGTTGACATCCTCCTCCTTTATGTGTATTCTTCATTCATCTTCCAGAATATTCACACTTGTAGTTTTCTTTCTACTTCACTGGTCTTCCTTCTTAGTTTCCTTCCATGGTTCTTCTCTTCTCCCCAACCCAACTTAATGTTGCAGTGCCCCTGGACCCAGTCCTTGGCTCTCTACATTTACTCCCTTGGTTATCGGCTCTAGTCTCATTACTTTAAATACCATCCTTGTCTTACTCCAGCATACATTTCCAGCTCAGACTTCTCTCCCAAACTCCAGGCTTGTATAGTCAATTGCTTACTTGACATTTCTACTTGGACAGCTTTACCCTAGAAACTCCTCCTCTTCTTCCTGCTGACAACCTCATCTCAGTTACTAACAACTTGTCTTTTCAATTGCTCAGACCAAAAACTCTTAAATAAGCCTGATTTTTATTCTCTTCATTCCCTTCATCAGGAAGATCTTGTTGGTTCTGTTTTTAAATTAGATTCAGAATGACTACTCCTTGACCTCTCCAATGCTACCACACTGGTCCATGCCACCATTATCTCGTGCTTGGATTATTGGGGTTGTCTTCACTTGGCCTCCCTGTTTCTGATTTGCTTCTCTACAGTCTGTTGTCAATGGAGCAATACTTTTAAATGTAAGGTACTCCTCTGCTGAAAATGCCCCATTTCTCTCAGAGTAAAAACCAAAGATCTATAGGACCCTGGTGCCCTCTTACCTCTCTTACCTTGTCTTCTGTTACTCTGTCCCTTGTTCACTCTGCTCCAGCCATACAGGTCTTGCTGTTTTCAAGCATAGCCTGGTATCCTATCACCTTAGTGCCTGTGCACAAGCTGTACCCTATACCTAGAGCTTTCTTTTCCCAAATAGCTACGTGGCTCACTCTCTCTCCTTCTTCAGGCCTTGACGAAAATGTCACTTCTCAGTGGAGCCCACCCTGACCTGTGCTTTATATGCCTTCTGCACTCTTGATCCCTTTTACCTTGCTCTACTTTTTCCCATAGTACTTATCAGGATTTAACATGCTATTTATTTATTATGTCTTTCTACTGTTTTTCTCATCATTACCAGAAAGTAAGCCTCCTCAGCACAGAAATTTAGTCTATTTTGTTCACCTAGAACAGTGCCTGGCACATAGTAGACATTCAGTAAATCTTTGTTGACTAAATGAGTGAATGTATGAGTGGCTTCCCATTGATTTTAGGATGATCTATAGCCTTCACATAGCCTTCAAGACCCTATATGATTGAGTTTCTAGTTATTTGCCAGACTTAGCTCCTACTGCTTTCCCCCTTCTGTCTCTTCTACCAGCTCTTTAGGCCTTTAAGTTCATCCAGTGTACTATGGCCTTTTCCATTACATAATGGAGTAGTTCCTCTCCCTATAATATTTGTTCTTCCTTCCTACCTCCATCTTCCTACTTATTCTTCCCTGCCGAATGCCAATTTTATTTCTTCAAGAAAACCTTCATTCATCATCCTCTTCCCTGCAAGGACCCAGGATTAGACGTTTTCATAGCATCCTGACCTTCTCCGTCATGAAACTAGAATATAAGTTCCAAGAGGGCAGAGACCATGTCTGTTTTATTCACTAGAAAAACTTCAGCATTGAGTCTTGCACATAGTAGATGCTCAATAAATCTTTATTGAATGATAGATCTAATTTAGTCCATACAAATAATCCTGTGAGGTGTAAATCCAAGTTATTAACCCAATTTTACACCACAAAGGTAAAAGAGCCCATACAGGTTTTCTGATTTGCCCGAGGTATATGGAATAACCCATAATGAAGGCATAACTGTTTCCTGTTTTCTATGCTAAAGTGAGAGAGGTGCACTTTAGTGTACTGTTTGTGCCAGGGCTGCAGTAGGAACCAGGAAATAACTTCAGTCATGATTTATCAGGGTGCTTGTAAAGGATGACTGTACCTGATCTAGTCCCAACTCTTTGGACAATGCAACACTTGTAAAATGTATATGAGATGCACAACTGTCATTGCTATAATGAAACAACTGTAAAACCACTGTTTAAAAATCTAATGGTGTTTTACCAGTTAAATGTGTTTTAAATTATTCAAAAGAAAAAAGGACGGATCCCTTAAAAAATAGAGGTAGTTTGTCTCAGGCAGAGAACAGATTATAAAACTGCAGAAACCTGCATATTTCAGTGACAAGACTAAATTTTTATCCATTTTATATATTTGATGGGCATTTTTTGACTAACAGTAGTTCCACATTCAGCATTATTTAGAGAGAGTGATTTTAGATGTGGTATAGACATGAAGAGTCAGTTTAAATTTACTAGGCCACTGGAAAAAATATTACTGTAGAGTTTATTTAACATTTCTGACACACAGGATCAGTGTGTGTCAAACGTTATTAAAGTACTTTTTTCTTTGTCAGATCATCACCATATGGTATTGTCATACTTCTTTTAATCTTAGAAGTGAAGCCTTTTGGAAACTAGGGCTTCTATGTATGAGAAAGTTGAATTACAAAGCTTTCTTTTTTTGAGGGCAACTGTCTTTCATATCTAAAAATGTTCGTACAAAAATGCCCTATATGTGTGGCTCTTTGTATTTGAAGAGAACAGTGCTGATTCAGTGAGATATGTGGCATAAATTAGAGACCTGTGGTAAAGACTGATTTCGTTTATGCTGGTGCTCTCTCACCTCTATTTACAGAGGCTGTTGTGCCCTGGAAAAATACCACAGGGCCAATCAATGGAAGACGCAAGAGAGATGTTGATTAACTGTGGTTTATTTAAGTTGGCCTCATTTTGGTGTCTCACTTTGGTTTTGTAGGCTAGAATTCTAGTTGCCTCACTGACTGTTCCCATAAATATAGTAGAATCCAATTCCTAGAGAATTTTCTAAGGTCAGAGCTTGTTATCCCCTATGTCTGTTATATTGCTTGCTCTACTAATGGTTCTCTGGAGCAGTTCATAAGCTTAGTATTTTAAGTAAAAGTTATTCTTGTTTGTTTTATTTAAAAAATATTAAGCATACTTTATCAAATATGTTCATTGTTTAGAAACTAAATTTTGGGTAAAATATGGGAACTGTTTATTTTGTCCACAAATGTTGCAAAACAGTTTACCAAAGGAATTATAAACCTGAAGGTCTTTATATAGACTGTTCAAACATGTATTGTTACTTTAAAAAACTTATATTTGCTACACCTACTAAGTCAGAATAAATAGAGATTAACATGCATTTTAGACCAGTTGCCTTCCTTGAAGTCCTTTATCCCTGTGTTGCCCTGTAGTATTAGATTTGGAGCAGAGGTTCACAGATAAATCAAAACATATCCATTTCCTATCCAAAGTCCTGCATCAGGAAAAAAGTTTCTAAAAGACATGTTTTAGGAGGAAGTGATACTAAACCATCCATTAAGAGCATCATAATTGAGAGATCAAGCAAAAGTTCAAAACCTAAAAGGAAGGGAATGAAGTGGATGGGTCTGAAGAAGTGATATAAAATCAATTGATTTTTGAAGCGGCTGTAGACTTCAGCTGTCAAAAGTGCCATAACGATCGGTTTTTCTCCAAATGTTTTTAATCCGACTGAAGCTCTTGTTGGGGAATAAAAGCTATCAGTTCTTAATTTGTGAGCATTAAATTAATTAAAAGTATATTAAAATAACAAAAGGTATTATAAAAGAAAATATGTTCCTCCATCCATCTCAATGTGGACACATTTAAAACCATATGAACTAGATATGGCTCATCGAACCTTCAGTTGTAGTTGTCATGATTAGAATTGTTTTTCTTGATCTATTGTTTTTTGTTAAGTTGTTTAGTACAGTTAAAACTGTCAGTGAATAAAAGTAATTGCCACATGCTTTTATGGCTGCCTTGATGGGAATCTATAGTTCAATTTTATATGTCTCTATTGAATGCACTTCTATGTGTACATTCTCTTGCAGCCTCATAAAAATAGTAAATAAAAAATTATTATTTTTTAAATTTTCATAAAAATTTCACCAAGCCCACAGATGGGACTTTAAAAGGCGACATTTGTTGTTAGAGATTGATTTGATTTTCATCAATTCTTTCGCTTTTGTAATGAGCTTGTGACTCATGGTTAGTGCTATTGCAGTTGTATATATCACTGAAAAGCTAAAAGCTTCAGCTTGTTGATGGCGTGTGATTGTGTTTGTTTGTATGCACATATAAATGGTTTGGACACATGAATGTATATTTTCCCCCTCTCATTCTAGTTGGACTGATCCAGAGGTTTCTTGTACTTCAGATTTACATACCCCTGGGACAAGACTTCTCCACTGAATTGCTGTAAGATATACAGAACTTCTTTCAATGTTTTATGTGTATTAGACATTTGATCAATTGAAGCAGTACGAACAGTCATTAATTGTAAGTGGCAGTTTTTGCATTAAAGAGCAGTGACTTATCAAGTCGACATGAAGTAATTAAACTAATTTAATCTATTTCTCAGCTATCACTATAGTGTGGCATTTCCCTAGGGGAAGAAAGCAAATTTCATCTATTTAAGAAAATATCAAAGGATTATGAATTTGACAATAAACAGCCTGTAACTTGAGGAAATAAATAATCCAAAACTTTGACATTTGTGGTTCAAATGAGGGGTGATGTTATGTTGTGTACTGTCTGCTATTGAAACTATGTTTGGTTTAAAATTGATTGAAATACCTCATTTTAATGTTATTTAGTTTAGAAATATTGATTCTTTCTGTTTATGTATAGATGGCTTAGAATATATTTGTTTTAAGTTTGCCTTGCTATTGAACAGATTGTTTAGCAAAAATGAAAATACGGTTATATGGTGCATAACAATGTTTCACTCAATGATGGACCATGTATATGATGGTCGTCCCATAAGATTAGTACTGTATAGCCTAGGTGTGTAGTAGGCTATACCATGTAGGTTTGTGTAAATATACTCTATGATGTTCACACAGTGACAAAAATCACCTAACGATGCAATTCTTAGAATGTACCCTGTCGTTAAGCGACACGTGACAATATACAACTTTTACTCAGTTGAGCTATCTGTTGTCTGAGATGATTCTGAGAATGAAAATAACATTTGATTTGTCACTCATATAGAATGGAATATTTTTTAAGATTTCATTAATATATTTGTATACTTTCAATAAAACATTACATTTAAGGTATGCTGTTTTCTAATTTTTCTTTGTAATTAATAGCTATCCAAAGTCTAAGCTTAGTCTTTCATTTTCCCTGCTGGAATAGATTCCTATTAATGAAGGTAATGTTGTGCTAGTTACACTAGTGCAAACTAAGAGGAAGGAAGAGCTTTCTTAATAAAATGGGAATACTATAAATTTGAGGTTATTCATTTTTCTTTGTTTATGTGAATTAGAACATTAATGATTTGTACGTATGTTGGTAAAATATGAATTTAAGCTAATAATATACTTTTTTTTTGAGTGATAAAGGATAGATAGTGTTGTTTTGCTCAACTTTAAACCTCAGTAAACTTCTAAGATTTTCTGTTATCATCTGCCATGGTCACTGAGATTCTTTAAAATAGTTCTTGCAGTAACAGGACGAAAGCATTATTTGATGTTCTTATGTATCTTTTTCTGGTTCTGCAGAAAAAGCATTTTCAAGACTCTAAAGATGTTCTAAAGGTACAGAGAGTACCATATAAAGCTTTATTTTCAATGTAAGGGAAAGTAGTTTCCTACCAAATGGAAGAAGGGAAAGTATATTTTATTTTTAAGTTTGTTAAGCTCCTTATGTAGCTTCAGGCCAACCCCTCTTATTCTCCTGATCTCTGCCACCTGTACTTCGAGACTCTTCAGATGCAGTGGTAGGGGTGCTGGTAGTTGGCCTTTTGATCAGAGCTGTGCAGGACACTTGGGTGAACCTTGGAACAGAATCTTTTGCTGACGAGCACTCTTTTCCTGTGCAAAATTAAGCTTTATTTGTGCCCCGAAACACTTGAGCTTATCACCTTAGCCTAGGCAATATACTGTTTTAACCAGGTTAAAAATAATGGAAGCTTTAATTATTGAGAAATTGACAGGTATCTTAGGTTTAACTTAGTCCTAGCAAGAGAGCAGCCGATATAAGTAAGCCTGACTGCCCGTCTGTTACCCTGTTGTTATTGATCTTGGCCTCATTAAGGATGGGAAAACATTTTCAGGGGTGATGGAATTCATGATTAGATTTTGAATTCAGTTGACTATAGTCATAGATGCTCTTGTTCTCCTGTCCACATGGACAAATATTTGGATTTTCCAAATGGTTTTAGTTTTATAGTTTTAGCAAAATAAATGTCTTATTAACAAAAGTTCAAAATTATTAAATAACATGGGGAAGACATTCTCTGTCCTGACCTTGTGAATTTATCAGATCATAAGAAAATATATTAACTCCTCACTTGAATTTGTTGCTAATAGATAATCAAAATATTTTGCTGTTTTAGGAAGTAATGACAGAGACCATGTTTTTACCAGAAAGAAAGTAGAATAGCGAGTATAGATTGTCTAACTACAGCTTTTTTTCCCTTAAATGCACCGGCTTTCTTTCAGCACCCTTAGTGTTTTACTGTGTTTCTAGCAGCATAGCTCCAGGCTATTTTAAATAATACATTTCTCTAACAAGCTTGGAAAGTCACATAGCAGAAAAGTATCTGGCTTCTAAAATTTTCCATTGTCAGAATGGCAGAGGCATTTTGTTTCACAAAGATACGTTTACACATCAAGAGTTTTTCATAAGACTCCAGCTGGAGTCTTGGCAGCTGGTTTATGAATTTAATAATTATTTCTGGGCCGCCCCGTGGCTTAGCGGTTAAGTGCGCACACTCCGCTACTGGCGGCCGGGGTTCGGATCCAGGGCGCGCACCGACGCACCGCTTCTCCGGCCATGCTGAGGCCGCGTCCCACATACAGCAACTAGAAGGATGTGCAGCTATGACATACACTATCTACTGGGGCTTTGGGGAAAAAAAAAAAGGAGGAGGATTGGCAATAGATGTTAGCTGAGAGCCGGTCTTCCTCAGCAAAAAGAGGAGGATTAGCACGGATGTTAGCTCAGGGCTGATCTTCCTCACAAAAAATAAAAAATAAAAAAAAAAATAACTAATTATTTCTTCAACATCTTCCTGCGTCTCTCATGTCCCCTGGGTGATTATACTGCTCAGGGGGAGGTCATGCACCTGTGGGTTAGTGGATACCTTAGAACCAACAATGGCTCTGCTTGAGGAATCACTCATTCATTCAGTCAACAAATTATTGAATTCGTGTTATTGTCAGACAGTGTGTTAGGCATGGGGGAGTCGATATACCCTGAATCTGTACACTTCTCCCCACCCTCACGACCTTCCTAGTCCCAAACCACCATCACATTTCCCCTGATCTACTGTTAGAGCATCCCACTGGAATTCCCCGAGTCTTCTCTTGTCCTTTTCCAGTCTAGTCTCCACTCTGCAGCTAGAGTGATCTTTCTAAAAAACAGCTGGAGTTCTCATTGTACCGAGGATAAATTCCCAATTCTTTAATACTCCTATGTGCTCTGGTGTCTCACTTCTCCCTTCTCATCTCATACCACTCTGCCCTGAGCTCACCATCTGTCAGTCACACTGGCTTCTTCCCAGCCATACTGGCTCCTTTCCAGCCAATACTAACTTTCCCTTCTTCATACACCCGGTGAGGTCTCTTCTTAGGGTCCTGTGCACAAGAAGTGGTTTATATCCCTATTTCTTTGCCTTGCTAACTCCTACTCAGTCTTCTCATCTCAGCTTGTGCCCCTTCTTCAGAAAGGCCTTCTTTGATCTCCCCCAAATAAATGAGGTTCATCTCTTATGCTCTTTTCTGGCACTCTGCTCTTTTCCTTTGTTACAGCTATAACAGTTTATAATTATATATTTATTTGAGTATCTGTCTTTTTGGGTAGACTTTGAGTTCCATGAGGACAGGGGCCTTGTCTGTTCTACTCAGCGTGATATCCCAGGACCTAACACAATGCCTGGCGCAAAAGCTCTGAAATATGGAGGAGTAGCCAGGAATGGAGAAACGGACTGAGATGAATAAACAGGACCCAGTCTCTGTCCTCATAAAGTTTCCTCTGAAGGTGAAAGATCAGTTAAAAGCAATTTAAATACATCTTGATAAATGTTATAATGACATAAGAGCAAGACCTATGGGGAACATGTAAAATATTAGGTAGACGTGAAAGCATAGACTTGGAACTAGGCAGATCCGGAGTCAAATCCTGCGTTACCTCTGTGAGACTTGGGGCAAATCCTAACCAATGGGACGAGAGTAATAATACCCACCTCATAGGTGTGTCATGAGAATTAAATGAGAAAGTTAACATAAAGTAATAATGGCTACCATTTATTAAGCACTTAAAATATACTGGGCATTATTCTAAACACTTTGATTGTTTTAACTCAATTAATCCCCCAAACAAGCCTGTATGGTGGTCATGATTATTGCCTCTATTTTACCACTGAGGAAACCGAAGTCCAGAAAGATGAAGGAATTTACCAGAGGTTATGGACCTACTAACTCTTAGAGGCGGGATTCAGACTTGTAGTCTAAATCTAGAACCTGTGCTCTGCACCACCACACCGTTCTGCCATACTTGTAAAGGTTGTTTTTCTCTCTAACTGTACATACGTACATGTGTAGTAGGGGTGTTTTATTTGACTCTTCGTACAAGGAGAAAGTGCTGGCCTTCTACGTCTTCTTTAGGGGCTTCCCATAATACAATGTGATCATTAGAGTCTCAGGAAGGAAAGGTCTTTTATTCTGAGATGTTCCTCTTCCTGTCTTTACCCTTTTAAGAAATAAATGCCTGAGAGTTAAAGGAAGAATTTTACCCAAATCTTTTTGGTTTTAGTATTTTGCATCTCAAATGTGACAATACTTGTGTTACACTTTTTTTAAAAAATGAGAACTAAGATACAACTTCTTTGTTGATTCTCTACTTTGGTCCTTGCCTAGGCGTTTTTTTTTTTTTCCCCCTTTAACATCTAAAAATTATATTATTCAGAATCCTGCACCTGTGGGTAAGGTGGTGTTGGGGAGGGAGGAAACTCCCCTCTCCTACCCTTCTTGTGTTCTTATGGCTGGACTAATAATAAAATGGACACAATACCAGATTAACAGGAGAAAAACCCAGTCTAATACATATTTAACAGAGATTATAGAGAAATGATCCTCAGAGAGTAAACAAAGCAGGCAGTACATATGTCTTTTACACAAAGAAACAAGTTTGTGAGGAATGACAGGACGAAGAAACTTAGGTTTGGGGTATGTAATTAGTGAGGAATTTCA